GGTTGGGGGAGACCCGCCAAACCGCCTCTGGGTCTCGTCCTGTCTGAGCCTCGCCGGGCGGGCCCCGCTCTGCAGGGACAGAGGGCGAGGACTGTCCCCGGCCACGGCCCCGGTCGCGCTGCCCGTTGGCGGGCGAAGGTCCCCACTTAGGATTCTTGCTCCCTAAAGGCGGCGATCCTGATTGGCCAAGACACTTCCCCCCCCAGAGCAGAGCTGGGTCAGAACCCGCGCTTGGACCTGTTACGCCACCTGGCTCCTGGCTGCCAGCCACCCTGGCCCCGGCCCCGCCCAGTCCGGCCCCGGGAGGCCACGCCCGCAGGCCTTGCAGCCGCGCCGGCCCGGCGGAGGAGCTCTGGGTCTGCCAGGCAGGCCTGGCTGGTGCTGGTGCCTAACCGCTGCCAGCGCCTAGCGGACCGAGAACCCCTCCACAGTGCCGACCCGCCGCGGTTCCGCTCTGCTGGCGGCGGCGCGCAGCTGCTTCAGCTCCGCAGTCTGCACTCAGCGGCCCGCACTCTTCCCACTGGCTTCTTGCAGCCACAGGTGTCACTCCTGAAATTGGAGACGCAGGACAACACCTTCCGTGGCCAGGCAAGGCCGCTGCCCACCTGGGCCTCAGGAGTGCACGTTAATGTGAATGGTCAGCCGCCCCCGCCAGCCTCCACTTCCTGTCCTCTGACCTGCCTTGTGCTCAGGAGCCTGGCCAGGGAGCTTACCTCACCCGGGCCAGCTGTGAAGTCTGGAGTCGGGAGAGCTGGGGTATGTTCCCTCCTCCCCACCTGGTCAGGGTCTGGCAGTGTGCTTGTCCCTCTGAGACTGCAATTCTCACCAGCTCCCCACCATTGCTCCAACTCAGCCAGGGTCTGGGGACAGGGGCTGCCTTGTCAGCCTCCTGCCACCCCTAGGCGGCAATGTGGATGGGTCCCCGAACAGCGTTCAAACTCCACCTCCTTCCCGGGAGAACCTTCTTTCCCGGGGGGTCTGGGCTGGGGGAGAGCACAGGTCACCCCCGAGCACGGCAGGGTGTCTTTCCAGGGCATCTGTCTTACTTGGTGGCGAGTGTGGCCCACCCTCCACACTGTCACAGAGGCCGTGGTCACCAGGGCAACGGCTCTCCTGGCCCTTCCTGGCAGAAACCCTCTTGGCCGGGTCCACCTGCGCCTGGCAGGGGTCAACGGTTTATTGGGCTAATCTTGGTAACTCCATCTCTTCCCAGTGATTGCCTTCTAATACATTCAAGCCAGGGAATCCTGAGGGAAGCCTATGGGAGCTGTCTGGGAAGGGTTTCCTCTTTAGAAAGAACGAAAGGATGAGAGCTCCCCTCTTCCTGCCAAATGCTAGCTGCATGTGACGCTGGGTACTTTGCAGCCTTCTCGCCGGAGAGGAGGCAGGCCGAGGGACACCCTCGCGCTGGAAGGGTTGCATGGAAAGCCAGGAGAGCACCCCCTTACTAGGCCATTAGCCGTGCCTGCTGGAATTTTCTTGGTATGAGAATAAATCTCTTTTTTTAAGCCAGATGAGTTGGATATTTTGTCACTAACATGTTGACATCTGTTTTTCTAATTATTTAAACTTTATTTATTTTAATTTGACCAGAGAGGGCGAGAGAGGGGGAGAGAGAGAGAGAGAAAGCAAGCTGTCAGGTCCGGGACTTGAACTGTGGTTGGCCATGTGGGAGTCCAGTGCCCTTAACCACCATGCCACCTGCTGGTACCAGGTGTCAGCTTCTTAACTTTAAACACAAATCCATTAGGACTTACTGAATTAACAGAGTCCCACTCACCCTGTGGGTCAGTTGTGCCCCGCTAGAACCAAACCACCGTGGATGTGGGGGCTCAGACCACCGGCTTGTTCACAGCCGTGGTCTGGGGATGGGCCCCTGCTCTCCCTGGTGTGGGGGCCTTGCCCGTGCAGCTGCATCCTCTGGAGCCTGGCGGGGCTGCAGGGCTGCTGGCTGGCTCTCCCGTCCCAGCGGAGCGGATGAAAGCTAAAAGCAGGTTGGCCTCTCTTTCTGTGTGGCTTCTCATACTTCCGGGTCAGCTGAGCCTTACCTGGTAGCTGGGTCCCCAAGGGGTCAAAGTGGACACTGCACAGCCCTCAAGGCCAAGTGTGGCACTCTCAGAATGTGACCTTTGCCACCCGTGGGCGGAAATAGGTCCAAGGCCGACTCAGACACATGCGGAAGGTAACAGACTGGGTCTTAGGGGTGTGGGCCCCCTCAGGCAGGGACAGCACTGGTGAGGGACCACCTCTGGGAACACCTGCCAGGGACAGGCTAATGGGAATGGACTGCCTGGGCGCCAGACAGGAAGTTCCACCCAAGACTGCTCCACTCTGGCCTGCCTCTCCTCTCCTGTCCAGGCAGGGAGGACACCTGCCCTCTGACTGGGCCAGCCAAGGGTATGTCCCTTCCTGGCCAATCAGTCGCCAGCATCGCAGGTTCCAAGGGCTGACTGGCTTAGGCGGAGTTAAACACAAATCGTGGAACTAGTAAGTGTCTAGGACAACCAAAAGCCTAAGTTAGGTTCCTGTAATCAGGACCAACCCCTGACCCACTAGCAACGGGGCTACTTCCCCGTGGCTGGGTGGTGGGATGAGGGAGGGCGAGGCCACGGGTGTGATGCAAGCCCCAGTCTTACTTCACGTGTAGGTTTGCGCGATGCTTCAGGCCACGGGTACCCACGCCTACGCAGACTCGGGAGCTGCCCAGTACCAATCGGCACTGCCGCAGAGGCAGCCTGCCTAGAGACGAGGAATATTGGATCCACTGACTCCGAAGTGAAAAGCCATTTGGGGAATAAGGGGGAATAAAACTGGGCCCGTCCTACGAAGGCAGTTCAAAGCAATGATTGTCCCAGGGACGTCAAATGCAACCCGAAGCCAAAACTGACTACCAAAGCATTGAACCAGGAAGTGTGAATTATTAACGCGCCCTGCTTTCTGGTGGTAGGCAGAGTCAGGCTTTCCTCGGTAAACACCTGGCTGCTCCCAGCTCCTGGAGCATCCAGCCACCTGCTCCAGAGGCCCCCCTGCTCCAGATGGCCCCTCCCCTGGGTTACTCCTCCCTCTCCTCCGGTCGCTCCCACAAGCTGTTCTCTAACTCAGTGCCCCCTTTGTCCAGACTCTGGCCTTCCCAACCCCTGCACTTTGCCTTACCCTAGTCAGCCCCGCTGGACTCCCTCCCCCTGTGGTCGGCCATGTCCCCGTACTCTCAGGCCACACTTGCCAACCTTAGCTGTCTGTCTGTCTGTCCAGGCCAGCATTTCTAAATCTGGCTGTGGATTAAGTCTCCCGAGGAATATGTTTCATTTAGGGGTTTTTATTTATTATGTCCTAGGTAGCACTTCCCTAAGACGGTCTCCTCCCAGACAGCTGACTGGAGCCTCGGCACTTTCAGCAGCTCCTGGAGCGGCAAGCTGAGGCCGCAAGCCGGAAGGCCTGTCTGCCCTGCGATCAGGGCCACGGTTGCCGGTCCTTTGCCCTGTGCAGCAAGTGCTTGACAATCAGCAGCTGGTTACCCTGTGCCTAAGCTGCTGCTCCAGCCGCGGTGCAATGGCAGAAGGGCGGCATGAGGTCTGAGCATGTGTAAGTGGTGACGCCATCTCCGACCCACGCCAGGATGCAGTGGCAGGCGGGTGCCGGCTCCGAGTGCCCTGAGGTGACCCTCAGGGACGCCCTGCAGGTCCTTCCCCTGGAATGCAATGACAGAAGGTCATCTGCCCCTGCGGGGGGTGGGGACAGTACCACTAACTTACTGTTTTTTTAATAATTCTTTATTTAACTTTATTTATTAGTATTATTATTTTAATTGACCAGAGAGAGAGAGAAAGAGAAAGTGGGAAAACAAGCCACCAGATCCAGGATTCGAACTGCAGTCGGCCAGGTGGGAGTCCAGCGCCCCAACCACCACACCACGTGCTGGCCCCCGCTAAGCTACTTTCACTTGGTTATTACACAGAGGTCAAAACTAGGTGTAGCTCATTCCCCTGTTCAGCCAGACTGTGAACAATGCGAGTGCCGGTCGCAGAGAGCTGGCAGTCTCCTCCTCAGACGAGGTCGGTGTGAGCTTTACCGTGAGCATGCTCACCGTCCTGACAGCCCCCACGTGCGACTGGCAGGAACCTCGTAGCCCGTACTTCGGGGCCGCAGAGAAGGGGACCTCGAGCCTCAGCCTCAGGTGTTTGACTCCTCCTTGTCGCTCAGTCTTGTTCTCAGTTTCTTCCTTCAGGTGTTGGGCCACGTGGGAAGGGAGTCCGAGTGAGTCCCAGGCCCTCCCCTCAGTAAGGAGGCTTTCTCCCAGGGACAGAGAGGTGTCTTGTGTCAGGGCAGTGGTGGGGACCCCTCAGTAAGGAGGCCTTCTCCCAGGGACAGAGAGGTGTCTTGTGTCAGGGCAGTGGTGGGGACCCCTCAGTAAGGAGGCCTTCTCCCAGGGACAGAGAGGTGTCCTG